TGCCACGACCTCCTGGTGGGGAATGGCGGCGTCAACACATGTCGACGCAGCGAGGGTCGGGGCATGGTGCGCAAGGGTGGGGACCTGGCATGGCGTGATGAGGCGGAGTGGGCAAGGCGGGGGATGGAGCACGACGCGACGACAGACGTGTCGCGGCTCGACACGGGATGGGGCCGCCACCGCGAGGCGACTTGGGGCGGGCGAACAACGCGGTGAGCCGCAACGAGCGAAGCTAAGGAGTTGGGGATTTATGCTGGCTATCACAGTGTAGATGGAGTAGATAGATGAGAGAGCGTAGATGAGTCTGTTGGGCCAGTCGCTGTACTCGAGCGAGCGTAGAGCAGAGCGTTCGATTTTTTTAAGATTCCGTACTTATGTTCCGTAGCATTAATGTAGGATGGATGGCTGCCATTGCAATCCACGCGTACGTGTATGCATGTCTTGATACCGCATTTCCTACTTTTCTTTCTTTATACTACGCCTTTCGGAGAAAGCTAGCTTCTTTCCGGATAAAATTTGGTAACGGATTGGGAGTTCAATCACCATTATTAATATAAGCTTTTGCCTTTTGCGTCCTTGTCTCTGCCAACATTCATGATCCATCCCATTGTCCTGCTATCTTTACACCTTTTCTCTTGAGTACTGCAAGCTGTGGCAGAAGATATTGCTTCTTAGGGCGTTCCCAGCGGATCGACGACTTCGCTAGCACTAAAAAGAATAAAAAAACTAAGAGCCTGAACGCAGCAGTGAACTGGCCCCAACACAGCAGTGACGGTCGATGTTTTGGAAACCGTGGGAGATAGGCTACGAAACAATCGCTAGGCCTTGTTTAGATTCAAGTTTTTTCACTCTCTTCTTTTACATTAAATCTTTGGACATATGTATGAAGTATTAAATGTAGATAAAAAAATAACTAATTATACAGTTTGATTGTAAATTACGAGACGAATCTTTTGATTCTAGTTAGGCCATAATTGGACAATAATTATCAAATACAAACAAAAATGCTACAGTGCCAATTCTGATTCCTAACACTCATCTAAACAAGCCCTAGTGACTTGTTCTCCAGCCTCTTCTCTCCTCCACGTCGGATTCTCACAGTCAAATCACTAGCTCAAATAGTCTTGTTGGGATCCCAAACAGACTTGTACAAGTCGCTAGCGACATGGAGAGAGCAAATAAAAAATAGAAGAAAACGCTAGGTACATGTCATGAAAGAAATGGGGACAGTGTGCGAGCATGCTGCTTGAGTCCTAGCTAGCGATTATGTTTTCAGCCTTCTCTCTCGTCTGTACAGAATAAAATATGATTTGTGCTAGCTATTTGGATCTTGTTGGAGACGCCCTTATGAATATGAAAGGTTGATGTTTCCCAAATCCCAATTTTCTACTATCATATATATCAAGAACTGACGTAGTGGAAAAAATAGAGCCCAACATTTTCTCTCTGCAAAAATAAAATATTTTCTTTGATTGAAATATATAAATTTTCATTTTAGAACATCCATTTAACCTTTCGAACATTTCGGATAGTATCTGAATTGACCATACTAAGAAATCAACCCGTGGCCTAGAACCATTATCTTTAATTTCTCTCTTTGTGTCCAAAAAACAATACTCATTTAGACACTCTATAATCTTTTATCTAGTTGTGCTAATTTTTTCCGTTTACTCTATATGTGTTTCCATCCATTGTGTATTTTAATATGCATTTACTTGAAACCTTAGCTCAATTTATATTAGCTCTTCTTTGCCTCTATTCTTTTTAAATCATGAATTTATAGTTTGCCCTTTCAACTTTAGATTTTATATGTTCTTTCAATTTTCCTTTTATATGTTATTAAAAATATACTTTAGGTTGTAGACTGGATTATTATATATTCATTACAATGGCACAAATAGCCATTTCACTCTACACCATGACAATCAAGATGCTGAATTACTCTTTCAAAGAATTATATAGTGTTAATGTCTTATAAAAAACTTCCAACAATGATGTATCATAATGTTTCAGCCAAAATATATAAACATATCTAAAATAAAAACTTGACAAACTTATTATCAAAGAGTTTTAATATAATTTAAATAAATTGATAGTGTCATTGGCTTATGGCCTACAATGTTTACTTAGAAAATATGGTGACACATCCCATTTATATTGGTATTTAGATGCTGATTTTTGGAAAATATTTTAATTTACTATTTATAATGGTAGAGGTGGTAATTTAAATACAAGTGAAATTTGTTCCTTTGTTCTATCTTTCATAGTAACACTTGTGGGTAATCTAAAAGTAAATTTAGGGGTTACTTCATATTATCTTTCATAATGGTAAACGTGAGTGATTTAGATAAAAAATGAGGGGGTTATTGTTCATTACCCTTAACAATTGGATATGTGGATAACTTTAAGTCTTTAACACAAATTTATGATTTATTTTTATTTTTTATAATGACAGGGGTGGGATAATTTAGATGTAAAATTTAGAAGGTTACATAATGTATTTTTTTAATAACAATAGATGTGCAAAAATTTGTAGAAATAAAATAGACTGTTATCAGTCATGATAATTAGAGTCTACAAATCAAATGTCAGATGTCTGATTATTATGATAATTTCTAGAATTTAACTTTTTTCTAAGCATGCCTTGTGAGGATTAACATGTACGCTCTTTTGAAACCTCCGATTAGTAATATTAAGATAAAGGCACAGTACCAAGATAATTTTATAATATTTAGTCTCATAGCTTGGCCAAACATATACAACGCACCTTATAAAAAACATATACACCGTCCATAGTACAAAATATTTGCAAGTCAACTATGCTACGGGCATATGTATTGTGTTTCTTTATTATATTGCTTTGTAGCCATATTCGGCTTACCCCATATTCAACTTGTTCGGCTTCTTTTTTCAGCAGGAACAGTGTTTTTCTCTCACAACAATTCAGCCGGAACAGTGTTTTTCAGCCAGTTTCAGACCAGCGAACGGGGCAAAAACAAAAAAACATTAAGATCGATTGAGGACAACTCACTGCTCCACTACAATTCTGGTGCTTCTAGATTTGTGCCACGTAGTTTCTCAATTTGCATGGAAGCACATCTCGAGGCAGAGATGTGTAGTACTGAAACTTATAGAGATGTTTTTATTCAAATGTAAATTTTAGAGAGGTTTCATCACAATATTATGATTTTGGTCGTACATTAACATATAGTATCATTCAATCTTCAGGGCGCCGACTGCAGCAGTAACTAACCTGACCAGTAGCTAGATCTTGGTTGCCCATACCAATGAATAGCAAGTGAAAATTTTAATAGATGAAGTTGTTTTTAGCTTTTGAGAATGTTTGTGACTTATTAGCGCAAGTACAACAATTGTCTTATAGCCAAGCTAATCAATACTCTAGTATCTAATCCTCACAAGGCATGCCTTGTGAGGCACAACAATTGTCTTCCACAAACTATCAATACCATATGCTACCACTCTAGTATCTGGCAACAAACTATTGATCATCTTTTCGTGAAAACATAAACTTGTATGATCACCTAGAATCTCTTATAATTTAGGATAAATCTTAAATGCTTAATGAGTCCTCTAGCAATTTCTAAAATTTGTGACATATTTCCTTTTTCTCCAACACATTTCATTATTAATAAGTGTAATTTCTAAAATATATATGCTAAAAGTTTAAAATATGGAATATAATTACCTCTAAATAAAATATTGAGCAATATATTTTGAAATTGACGAAGTCACCGTTGTCAGTATGTGAGTCACTCACCTTTAAAAGAATAATTCTATTAAATTGTAAAATAAATTTAGAAAAATGTAAATACTTATACGAAATTGGGTGGATTGGTTCCAACCTAAGGAACCTAACAAAATATATTAGTGTTGGAAGCAAGAAAAATTAGTGTTCAACTATGCGCCTTGAATAAAGGAAATTAGTGTTCCAATGAAAAAAAATTGGTCCACCTAATTTGTTGGAAGCAAAGTTCAAAACTCATGAGAAAATAACCATAATACATTAAATTTCCGATCAAACGGCCAGAGACAGTTCTGAACAAGACGTTGAACTTGCTACTCCTATCTGTCAGTCTCGCGCCCTTGATGCTTCTGAATTTAATAGCACTGGCGGTTGCACTCCTCCCACGACGGTGGCCATAGTTTAGTGGCTGCAGTACAGGCTCCACTTGGGGGCGAGGAGGAGGAGGTGGGTGCCGCTCCTGTGGCCTCGCCATGTGCTCTCTCCCCCCGTCCTCGGCTCCTCCTCCCTCCTCGGTATCTACATGACATTATGCCAAGATCTCCCTCTCTGATCTGACCACCGCTGCCATTTGCGTCTGCTCCTCGCAAACCCCTGTGTCGCTTTGCCCTTCGTTTCGCCAACTATAAAACCGGGGGTCCTGCGGTGTGTGACCTTTTTATACCGATGTGCAGTGCAGGGTCAACTTCGTCAGGCTTCCTGGGTCACACTGTAAGTACACTGGGCTGGGGGAGTGAGTGCCTCCTGTTCTTGATTGACTGACTGCTCTTGGATGCTCATCGATCTTGGTTGCTGCTTTTTGCTAACCCCTTTCTGCCGATCTGTTCTGTTCACTCTTTTCTGAAAGTATACTTTTGGTTCAGTTGAGTTGCTATATAGTATTTCAGAGTGTGGGGGCCGAGATCCACGAGACCACAACATGTTTGAAATACCTGCAATTATTTACTAATATACTGTCGAATTCTTTGATATGATTTCCAAACTTACATTGTATGATGAGCTCGAGTTTAGCTGACTCTACCCAGCTGAAAGTATTAGAAGTTTGTATATTTGATTCATTGTTTAGTTCTTTTCTGTGTTCACTGCATCCATAGTTTAGTTGTTTTCTTTTCTGTGTGATTCTGTTCTCTTCATTTGATTCCTACTGTTGTCAATTCTCAATCGGTCCGAAATGCCACTTCAAAACATTTGATGGTAACTCCACTCTGAATTTCATTACTACTCAGAAACTGTAAAGATGGGGTGTGGCCCATCAATCCCCGAGAAGTACAGCATACGAGGGAAGGGGCGCAAGCGCCGGAGCATCATACACGAGGTTGCTGTGTTCGTGCCCACCATCCGCATACCGGTGGCTTCTGACATAGCTCATCCGCTCAGGGGAATAGTTTTCAAGGATCTCGTCGATCGCCTCTCCACACTCCGTGCTCATGTCGTCGCGCTGGCTGAAGAAATCTGTATGTTCATCACTGATCTGTGGTTACTATACTACTGCTCTGCTCACCAGCGGAACTTGGTTGTTGTAAAAGGTTCTGATTTACTGTTTTAATTGGTGACCTCATCCTATGCAAAGATTCTGCGGACGTATCAGCTGTTCAAGAACTGCAACATGCGTTAGAGGAGTACTTGCCAGTTGTTCTTGGTTTAACAATGAAAGGTTTCAACTTTTTCTTATTCACTTCTATATAATCTCTTCTGTATAATCTTCATGGTTAATTACTCAAAGATTTATAATGACATTTTCATTGATCGGAACAGAGAGCCGTCTTGAATCGTCAGTACAATTCAGATGGAAGACCTTAGACGATGACCAGGTGATAGTTTGGCACCTTTGCTATTTTATTGCGTTGGAATGGAGGGAGTATTATTTGGATGCCTTTACTGATTGAATTACAAGAGGTTTATTTCTTATTCAGGAGTGTTGTTTGGCGAGTGCATGGTATGAGGTGCTCTCAGTGGTCCACATGATGGCCATGCTTGCATTGTTTGAGGCTAATCTATTACTCATTCCAAAGAACAGTCAAGTTGGTGGTGAAAGGAAGGTATCAGAAGGTCTGTTCATCTTTTTGTTACTACTAGCAATTTTTTTTTTCATATTTGTCTCTAATTTCTTGCCAATCTTGATGACGGCCTCAAGTGAAGAAGATAGTTTTGATCACACTGGCAGTATTCAATTACGGACACCGTAGAAAGATTACTGTAACAATAGTACATAATACTTTTGGTAGCAACATAAGGAGGAGTATATCTCCTCATGAATACTTTGTCCCATATGTAAAATTGGGGAAATGACACTTTGTGATTACTTCTGCAGATGCAAAGAAGGATGTTGTCGATTCATTGCTCAGGGCTTCAGGATGCTTAGACTATTCCGTGCATCGCATACTTGCTCAAATACCTGCACAAGTCAAGTATGCACTCATCCTTCAATGCATGTTAGCCAGGAGAAGTTTGAAGTTATCACAACTCTGAATGTTCCTTTAAGCAAGTGCTTACTATACCTTGTGCTTTCAACTGCAGAAAGAGTTTTCCTAGTTACTTGCAGGAGGGTATGCTTGAGGCCATCTCAATTCAGGCATTGGCTCAGGTAAGTTCACCTGTTATACTTATATATCTATTTTTTTTATATTATGGTGCCGAATTTGTAATTATCTTGTACTGTCCCAACTGCACAAAACAGTGTGTAGAAATACAGCTTGGCTTGGCTTCTGAATGTGAAAAGGCAACATTGTCAGTAAAGAGGAGGCTAGCCTGTGAGCAAGTCAGTTATTTTTCTCAGGTCAGTAATGCATAACAAAGTCCTACAATTGACATTTTCTTCAGTTATTTCGGCGTCAACAATATTTCTACTTATTTATGCTCAGGCTCACTATTGTCTGTCGGGATGCGATACAAGTGACTCGTATGGAAAAAAGCTTCAGCTGTTCCTGAAGTGGAAATGCATGGAGGCTAAGGTTGTCTGAAGACAACATAATCCCTTCAGAGTACCCATGACTGAATTTCTGATGTTAATTTGTTATCTTGCCCATCAGGCTGTAGCATATTACTACCATGGTCTCGTACTGGACAAGGGCGGTGAACCGGCCAACCATATCAGCGCAGTCTGCTGCCTCTCTGCTGCTGATGACCTACTTTCAGACAGCAAAAGGGCTTGCTTGAGTTTCTGCCTGGCAAATCCTGTCACAAGGTCTGATACTACATTACTCCTCCAACATAACTAATAGGTTAAATTAATCAAAATATGTGCTGACGGGATCTTTTACTTATTCAATTGTACGTAGGGTACCTCCTCCTTGGGGTGTCATGAAAAACATGCACAAAAAAATTCCAGATGTAAACACAAGAAGTTTCAAGTGTATGGGCATCTGTTTGAGCAAAACAAGAATAGGTAAATCCCCAGATCCCAGGACCAACTCTACATCTGAAATGGCAAATTTTACAGTTGGAAGGTGGTTGTTTGTTGATTCTAATTGCTTTTGCCCAAAAACAATATTCAGAGCATGTTGAAAATTGAAATGATAGTCTGCTTGAATTAAGCTCAAGAACATAGATGAACAACCTATATCATTCATATTTATTGTTTTGCTCTAGTGGTAATTTCACTACTTTCCTGGTGCAGCACACTTCAATCGGTTCCTGATCTACCAGAGTTTGCGCTGTCACTGAGACCGGAAGAATATGAGTTGCCAAGCACTGATTCAATCTGGGAGAATGTTAATGGCCAACCTCAGATTCAGAGCCTCAAGGAGCATCTGAACGATGGCGAAGATGAAGTAGATTTAAAATGATAGTTCTCACTTCCAAATGCTTCCTTTCATTGTACCACCAAACGTAGCAGAAGTTATACTCAAGAATTCAAAATGCTTAATCCAAAATGTTTTGGATTCAGCATATGCCACAACTGCATCTGTATAATTGCAAGGATTACCGTATGAAATAGTAAAGTCTTGATGTATAAAAGAATAATAAATAATAGGAAAGAATAGTTGGTTTCTTACTGTAATCGCCTTAATTTTACTTTCCCAACTGGAAGAACAGAGCATCACAGAAAAAAAAACTATGGCACACATTTCAATAATAAAACAATAATGTTCCATTAGCCTGGGTGTGCTCATTCATCATGTGCATGAAAGTTAGAACTTGATCTGTAGTAGACAATTTGAAAGGTCAGTCTCAACTGTTTACTAATTGTCGGGGTTATGTAAATGGGATACCCCAAAGCATGGCTTTAAGAGCTGATTAGGTGATGGCCCAGCTGGCCACCAGCCCAGCTAAACACGGCCTGCCTCGACTCCTCGCCCTCGAGCCAAACGAGGCCCACCTCGTACTCTCCCACCTCTCGACCACCTACAACCTTGGCCGCAAAGGAAAGGACGAGAGGTGGGAAGACACATATAGTACGCCTGCCCGGACGGGGCACGCACGCGTACACTCCGCCAAGTACAAGGAGGATAGCAGCCCGTCTGACAATTCAGACATAGGGCAGAGCGTCGCCTCGGTCAGCACCCTGCTGACAGACAAGACCACACCAGGGCATCGCTACGTCACTCCCGTGTGGCTCAGCACCACCCAAGTCCTGTCCAGCCTGATGGACGGTGTACGATCACACCCACCACGATGTGGGGACCACAACGGGGAGTCCGCTCTCCCACTCTGACCGGATCCTATGCCCCCGATCCGACCTCAGGAGGTCGGGGCAACAGGATCCCGACCCCGGGAGCAGGCAGCCCGCGATGGGACAACCACTCTCCCCGTACAGTGACATCACGACTTCTCCCCGCCACGATGATAGCAAGCAAGCCATACCGGGCAGGGGAGTTGGTAAGCAACCACCACTCCCGTTGCGCCGCCATGGTCGGAACAGTACCGCCACTGTATGCCACGCCTTGGCGTAAGGAGCAAGCTAAAGACGACCATACCTCGACGTGACAACAAGTCCAGACGGACTACTTAACAAGCACGCTAGCTTCTCCACCCTTCGGGCTCCTGGCCACTCGGACTGGAGAACCTTTACTCTGCATGTAACCTAGCCCCACAACTATATAAGGGGAGCCAGGCCTTCTTCCGAAGGATGGACTCCAAGTCGATTGACTTCCAGTGGATCGACTTCCTACGATAGGTTTCCCCTTCCTCAAACTCTTCTCTCCAGTAGGATTGTAGCTTTTGTATACCCCTGTTGTAAGCCTTTTAGAGCACTTTGGCATTGAGGAACACGTACTCACACATCTCTGGCACTACACGTAGAGCTTCGTTCCGAACCTGTATAAATCCTTTTGTGTCCTAGGTGCTAGCCATCGAATCCCTTAAGCGGCGCAGCGATAAATTTACTGGTCGGTTCTCAAAACACCAACACTAATCCAGTTGTCAGACAAGGTTATTTTTGTACACTTCATGATCCTTCCGAATGAGTCCAACGGCCTAAACAGTAAATGTGAAGAAATGCTTTAAGGTCTCGATCAACAAAAATGATTCATTTGACTTTCAGATGTATAATATTACATGTAGGAAGAAATATAGTTAGGAAAGTTCTACTCACCCTTTGGAAAAAATGCTCCATTCAAACATTTTGACTGCAGGACTTCAACTCACGTGCTGTTGTAAGGATCTAAGGAAAAGTTGTGATAACTTACTGCCAAATGTTGCCTTATGGGTAAGCATTAGTGACCGAAAGTCAGCCTGTGCGAAGTTTTTGGGAAATTTTGCTATAGGTCCCACAAAGAATCATGGTATTTGCTATGGGATCCATAGGAAATACCATAATTGGCCCCGTTCGCTGGTCTGAAACTTGGCTGAAACTGACTGAAAAACACTGTTCTGGCTGAATTGTTGTGAGAGAAAAACACTGTTCTGGCTAAATTGTTGTCGAGTGTACTATCTGCCTTTGTTTTGAAAGAAACTTTTTGCTATGAGGTTACCACGTAATAATTTCAATCATGTACTTCAAAATGAAGCTGTCTAACAACACAACACATCTGACCCATGTACATACGTAACTCTTCTAGAAGTCTAGAAAATTAAGTAGTTAAAAGTTTTTGAGCTTTGGTTCCTAATTAAGACTAGTGATTTGTGAGTATAGACCACATAATATAAAACAGAAGTGCATGAACAAATTATGTAGACTGGATTTTATGAGCATAGGGATGTGGCTCATGTTACCTGTCAAATTGATACAATATGCTAATGATTCAGCCACATCATTGGAGGGCAGAGTTGACTGGCTCAGGCCATGTTTAGTTACTACCGATTCCAAATTTTGGCACTATGTAAAAAGAAGATTCCCCGTCACATCAAACTTGCGGTACATGCATGGAGTACTAAATGTTGACGAAATCAAAAACTAATTGCACAGTTTGGTTGTACTCTACGAGACGAACGTTTTGAGCCTAATTAGTCAACGATTGGACAATTATTACCAAATAAAAACAAACGCTACAGTGCATGAACAGTGTCACCGAATCCGGCGGCGCCGAATCGGCCTCCAACTAAACACGGCCTCAATCTCAGCCCACTGGTGCCGGTTTGACAGTTATCACAAAATAGTTTTTTTAAAAGAACTTATGTTGTTATTTACCTATTTATAGCGTATAAAATGAATTCATGAAAAATTAAAGTTTCAGTAAGTTTTAATTTTGAAATCACATATGGAGTATCTGTGTGCACAAAACATAGCGAGAATGCATCGTAAAACCCAAAACATGTACAAATGGTACAAATTAAAGTCCCCATTCATTGTTTGCACGAATCACCATGTTTCTTTCGAATCAAGTTCCTTAATGTTATTTGTACCAACAAATCCACTTTAAGGGCATGCAACTTTTTCCCAACAAATATTTCTTTTGTCCAACATCCAGCTTTGCTGCTAGTATAAAACATAGAGAAAATTTCTCCTTAGTCACTCTAAACTTGCTTGATTGTCTCTCCTATGTGTAACACCTAGCACCCAAGAACTTGCACGGTTGCCTCATTTAAACTTGTGCGGTTTCTCACCTAGCTAGCTCCCTGAAGGACTTGAACAGAAGAAAAGTTTAGGGGGGTAAGGTTAAATAATGCAAGATTGCAAGTTTAGGGGCTATGTGTGATAACCGTCTAAGTTCAAGGAGACGAGAAACTAATTAGAAAGTTTAAAGGGCCACTTGAGAAATTCACACAAGTTCAGGGATGTATGGTGCAATTGTCTCTAAAACAAAAACAATTATCATTCCTTTACAAGTTGGATGATCTACGCCAGGAAGCCTTAGCCGTATCATCATCATAAACAATTGAACACAGCAGACAAAGAGGTTGCGAACACTTGGTGCCAGGTGGTATCAAACGCCATGTAAAACATAAGTCCGATGGGGTGTATGTAAGCGCTTTGTGCAAAACCAAAATGTACCTTGACTATCAGGCCTACTGAGGATGAATGAAATCAAGTGGGGGATCCTCTCCCCTTCCGTCGACTTACGAAAAAAAGGTGAAGTTTTACTTGGTCAGAGATAATGTTAATAAATCTAATCTAGAACTTACTCGAAGGCACAACAATTGACTAGAAATCTAGGGGTAACAATTGACTAATCTAATCTAGAACTTACTTCTGAAGAATCAATGAAGGAAAAAATGTTAATCAGACTGATCAAGACAAATTAATTCAACAGCCATCCCTTTTATTTATTCATAGAATCGTGTATAAAAAGCCTCCCTCTCCACCATCTGTGTGGCAAACAGTTCTGAGGTTTGCAGCAATGGCGGCACAGTTTGCAGCAGCAGGAGTCCTCACCGGGCTTCTCGCTCTTGCAACATTTGCAAGCTGCAACACTGAAGGTATACCGATCAAATAACAGACGCTATTTTCGATCTTAGTCTTTTCTGAAACATGCATGCTGTTGTCACTTGAAGGTGACATACTGTACAAGCAAAGGTTGGCATGGAAGGATCCAAACAATGTGCTGCAGAGCTGGGATTCGACGCTTGCCAATCCCTGCACCTGGTTCCATGTCACCTGCAACACACAATAACTCCGTCATCCGTGTGTATGGCACTCTCTATTCTTCCTCTATGATAGTTTTGGGATCAAGTATAATCATTCCTATCTGTACCTTTCCAGAATTCAGAATCTCTGAAACATCATCAGGACGTATGCAGTAAACTAGTCCTGTATCTACCACTGAGGACTGAAAGATACAGTACTTATCTAAAAACCTTGTCAGGCTGAAGTTATTGTTTCTTGCTTCCTGATCTTGGAGAACTTGAGAACCTCCGGTACATGTATGAATCGCATAACCTGTAGCAAGCAATTACTGAAAGCATCATAGAATGGCAATTTCCTGAACATGTACTTGCCATGCATGTTTGCAGTGAGCTGTATGGCAACCGCCTGAACGGTTCGATTCCAGAAACACTGGGCAACCTGACTAATCTCATCAGCTTGGATCTCTGGGTCAACCTGCTTACCGGCCCAATACCATCTACGCTTGGTTCCATCAGCACGCTACGATATCTGTAATCAACCTTTTAACAAGATTTTCATATGCCCTTTCATAAGACAACCCTGAATTTTGACTACTATTTTCTAAATTGCACATTTTTGGATTAATGGTGTTCTACAGGAGGTTGTACCAGAACAATCTGACAGGGTCTATACCATCATCGTTTGGCAATCTGACTAGCCTTCGGGAATTGAAGCTTCAAGAGAATTCATTGAGCGGCTCTATTCCTGCCTCCCTTGGCAACGTCAAAACATTACAGTTCTTGTATGTCATTGCTCGTAAATTCGCATACCGTATTCTGAATGGCCAAGAAAGTTCATACTAGTGTTGTTTACTTGTTCTCTATAGTAAATTTAACTTTTGGTCTTCTTTGCACAGGAAACTAAACAGGAATATGCTGACTGGCACGGTTCCACTGGAAGTCCTCTCCCTTGTCCTTGTTGGGAACCTGACCGAGCTGTGAGTACCGAGTAATATAGCAATTTAATACATCATTAGCACTTCTACATGTATGGATACATTATATCACGAGATGATGATCCTTTTTTTTTCAAAAATTATCTGCATTTAGAAATATTGCTAGAAACAACCTGGATGGCACCGCGACATCGTCCGGACTGAGAGGTACTGACGTGATTGTAAATCTCAGTTTTGATAGGTTTAGCTTTTGGTTTTATTTTCACATGCATATACAGTATATATGTAGTGATGCTTACAAGAACTACAATTTGGCAATGTCACAGTGTCTGCGATTATCCAGGATATGCTGAAGACTGCATGATGGCTTGATGAGTCCTTGGATCAAGGCTTTGTTTTAATTTGCTTCATGCAAACGCGGGAAATAAATGAATAATTCCAATGGGATGCATTGGTCTAGACATCTTGCAGTAGAATATGTTTGTCGAGTTTTGCTCAATTTGTGAGGAAATAATGGATAATGCGAGTCGGACAATTCAATTCCTCTTAAAAAATGGCTTTTGTCCTGAATAAAAATAATCTCTTATATAGCATATATAAAGCAGAGTTTCCTCTGTGCGTTCTTGTTCCCTCCGGCCTCCCTCTATTATGAACTACTACCTTCATTCCAAATTATAAGTCATTCCAACTTTCTTGAAGAGTCAAAGCACTCTAAGTTTGACCAAAATTATAGAGAGAATTATAAAGATTTATGACATGAAATAGGTAAACTATAGAAATATAATCAATAAAGAATCTAATAATACTTATTTGGTATCATAAATGTTATTATTTTATTATATAAATTTGATCAAACTTGAGATGATTTAACTCTCCAATAAAGTTCGAATGCCTTATAATTTGGGACTGGGGGAGTATAAAATAACGTACAGCACCGATCGCTACTGCATGGTGACTTGATAAGTGTAGTGAAAAGAAGATTACTAAAGGCCTGACTAAAGGAATATACTAGGTTATACACCATTGAAATTATATAGTTTCGCTTTGGATATAATATATATCGAAGAAATTTCTAGAAAAGATCAATTCTTTCTTGGAAAAAAGGAATCGCTCCAGCAAACACTTTGGCCCCAAGACTTGGACACAAATGTCGCCGAAACACAGAGTTAACAGAGGTTGCCGAAACTGTACAAAACAGCTTGAGCAAGCACCGCGAACGGAAGAAAGAGGTGTGATCATGTGTGCTATGTGGTCCTTGTGGCGAAGCCGGAATGATCGCCGGCATGGCAATGCCGATTGACCCGAGTGCAGCAATGGAATGGGCACTTGAGACCTGCTGCCATCTATTAGGCGGCGACCAGCCTGCGAATGGAAGAATGACAGCGCCAAGCATGCAGTGGCAAATGCTCCCTAAAGATCAATGTTGATGGGGCATACTCCCAGGAACCAAGCACAGGTGCAACGGGCGCGGTTCTGCGTGACAGTAGCGGAAATCTCTTTGCGGCATCAGCTCGATGGTTGGATTCGTTGGGATCAGCACTCCTGGCAGAAGCTGAAGCGCTTCGGGGTGGCGTGCGGCTCGTACCAGGAGGCACCAGGGAGCGCATCATATTAGAGACGGATTCTCAGGAGCTGGCATCGCTGTGGAACAATAGAAGAATGCACCGGTTGGAGATAGCTGCAATCCTAGAAGATGTGGAGGAGATGGCGTCAAACTTTATCTCCTTCCAGGTTCTTCACACGAGACTATCAGCGAATTTTGCAGCTCACTTGTGCGCTCAGCACGCTTCTTCCTTTCTAGCAAATTTTGTATGGCTGCAGCCTCCCCTAGCTTCTTACAGAATTGCTTGCAATTCGATTGTAACAATGCTGTTTAATGAATGAAGCAAATGGTTCCAAAAAAAAAGCACCGCCCAAGCTCCCTCCAGGCACTTGCGCACTCATTTACACAATTACTGACGGTACAAACTCCCTAGTTTTAAGACTCCGACTTGTATCCACAGCCTCGTTTCTTACCGGATCGTCCCTAGCAGCCTATGAATTGGATCTATTTTACTTACGGGACGTCCGGCGCCAGCAGCGTCTTCGGATGCCCCATGCCTGCTGTCCGCCCCGTGTCCGACTTTCCCGTGCAGCACCCGTGCATGCTCCTTCCCTGTGCTGCCGCTGGCTTCCGATTTGACCGTGCCCGCTTGTGGGGGGAATCATCGCGCCCGCTGCCATCAGGAGCACCAGCGATAGGCGCGCACTCCTGCTGCCCACTGCTGCTGGCACGTGATGCTGCTACTGACCGGCCGCATCAGCTGGAATGAGGAGAGAGAGAAAGCCGAGCGATGCAGCTTGGTGCTCCATGCCTGCTACCACGTTTATGGATATAACTTTGTGCTCCGTGCCTGCTGTCGCGCTCGCTTGGCTTCCTACACGCACGTGGGGACCGCTGCACCTGAGGGGACCACCTCTACCTGTGCCCCCTAGCCATGCCTGCTGATGAAACACTTGCAACATAAAACATTTGCTGTAACGTACGTCAAAAATAGATAAAATATTTACATTATACGCTTGCAACATATGTGTATGGGTATTGCAACATATGCGACGTCCTGATAAAACACTTGCAACATATATTTGAAACAGCTAAAACATTTAAAGCATACACTTGCAACGTGTATAGCCAGTGCAACATATGCAACATCTAGATAAAACACTTGCAACAAACATTTAAAACAACTGAAATATTTGAAACATACACTTTCAACATACGTGTATAGTCATTGCAATATATGCAACAACAGATCTACTTTTGCAACCTCCAGATAAAACATATGCAACATATATCTGAAACGCATGAAACATAAGGTTGCAACATGTGCGCTCATATACTTGTTGCACCACAATGGAGGCTCGTTCACGCGGAGCTCGAGGTCGCCCACGGTTGACAGGCGGATGGATTGCGAGCGGATGTATCGCGGCACGGCGGGAGGCACGAGGCGCGAGTGAGGGTGCTTGAGGCGAGGCACGAGGCGCGCGACGCGAATCGCGAGGGTAGGCCCGTCCGTCCCATCCTTTGGCACGAGGCACGAGGCACGGGGCGCGCGACGCGAGGCGCAGGGTAGGCACGTCGCGAGGCGTGTATGTCACGTCCTTTGGCACGAGGCACGAGGCACGGGGCACACGACGCGAGGCACGGGGGCAGGCACGTCCATCGCATCCTGAAAGGACGGACATCCAGAGGATATCGTTATCGTTTTACTTAGTGTTGGATTGATACGATGTCATATTGTGTTGGATTATTTTTATTAGATTAGAGGATTATTACATCTGCATACACCTGGTTGTATTGAAAGGTTGCCTTCACACATGTATTGCTCACGTATATGTAAAATCAATCAGAAATGCTTTTTTAAGAAAAAACTCAACCTGAAATGTAAATAGAATTCAACGATCAAGCACATGGCCTTTTTAATAAATAAATATGGTCACCATCATGTACACAACAGTAATAATAAGCATAACATTATTATGGTCTAACGATATATTAAATCAATCATTAATAATATTATTGTATAAATCTAGATAATTTTGCTAAAGGGCTCGATAAGAACATCTCCAAGAATATCTTAGTTTTTCCTTAAAAAACATGATGTTTTCGGACTAAAAAATACGAGAGACCACCGATAATTCACTTGGGAGTCGCATCTCCGTAGCCGCCGCCTCCCTGCAGGTTCAACTGATCCTCTGCCTTCCCCTACCAGCGGCAGCCAGCCACGTGGCCTCGTGCCACGTGGCCTCGTCGAGCTCAGGACCCCTCACGGGTGAGCACAGGAATCGATCGACCGTGCACCATGGCTTCCCCTTCATTGATTCATGTGTACATACGTGCATGCTCCTCTTCCTCTATCTTTGCAGGAGTGTGCCTGT